GTGTCTTTAAGAGATGGGTAAATATGGAAAGGTTGAGTGATGTTGGTTTGTCGAATGCGGATTGAAAATGCGCAACTAATGTAAACGGGTTTAAATGGTGTCCCGACCTAGTAAACGCTCAACCATCATCATCTCTCCAAACCTTCCCACCAGACTTGACAACCGCCTAACCTCCACCTATATTGTTACACAAAGAAATTTTTGAAGGGGTAAAGATGGAAAGGTTGAGTGTTCTTTAGGGATGGCAATTTCGACCTGACCCGTTTTACCCGGCCTGTTTGGCCTGTTTTGGAGCGGGGCGGGGTGGGCATGGGTACCTCTCGTCGGCCCGACCTGCTCTGACCCGCCCCATTCTCGACCCGTTCTTGCCTAAATTACTTAGAATTTTCCTCATATTACCTCATTTTTAGCTATAATAAAGTTACAAATAAGTGAAAACCTAAATTTCTCCAATACTTTAACTACATTTTATCACATTATGGTTTATTTCTTGGTCTTTTAATGAAAATAATGAACATTTGTTAAGTTTTTCACATAAATTACATATCCATTAGGTCGACCTGCCTCGACCCACACCCCATGATAAATTACCCGACCTGCCACGGGGCGGGTATGGGTATCGAGATACCCGGCCCGGACCTGCCTCATTGCCATTCCTAGTGTTCTTGCTTGGAGAGCCGACTGGTGGGTTATGTAGTTTCTTTGACAGTAATGTGTGATCTCTTAACATCAATTCATTTGGTTGATCTTCTAGGTTGACTTTTGAGTTGATTAAAGATAAACAGTGTCTCGAGATCCTGGCCTACTAAACGCACAACCATCGCCGTCTCTCCAAACCTTCCCATCGGACTCGACAAGCGCCTAACTTCCTCCAACCTATATTGTTACACAAAGCAATTTTCGGAGGGGTAAATATGGAAATGTTGATTGTTCTTGCTTGGAGAGCTTACTTATGGGTTATTTAGTTTCTTTGACAGTAATGTGTGATCTCTTAACATCAATTCATTTGGTTGATCTTCTAGGTTGACTTTTGAGTTGATTAAAGATAAATAACTATACTTTTTCTTGTTTTTGTTATGATACTCATTTTCAGTATCATCATTTTTTTATTTGAAATGTTTTGTGGTTAGTTTCCAGTAAATATAGACTATTTTGATTAGTGTTAACATAGTGAATAGCTTCAATCATACCTCTTTTACACAAAATTTATATGTAAGAGCTGAGTTCATTGCAGAATTGAACTATTCAAGCTATAATGTTGGTCTTCAACATATTAAACATGATTTCCTTTGAGTGAAATAACATCATGATTGCAGATAAGTTTTTACTTTTTACAATATGATGTTTCGTGATAGTGGTCACTTGATTCCAGATTTAAAAGTGAGATTCTATTTACTACAATATAAAAAGCACGAGTGATAGCGATAATTGGAGCAGATACTAGATGGTTTTTATCTTTCTCTCTGTAAGGAATAAATACATGGTGAACATATATTATCATGGGAAGGACAAACCGAACTCTTTGTGTTTGTAGTATAGCATGTTGATATATACGCATGTCTAGACCCGATCGATGGGACATATCCACTTGGAATTTATTGACGGGATTTTTTCTCATCAAAACCGCGTGCCAAGTAAGCTCCCTCCTTAATCCTTATATTTTTCTTAATCTGCACATGCACACCCTCATAGGAAACATGCACAAAATTGTAATTAGGTGCTTAATTAGTGTTGTTTCCATAAGATTGTATTATCTGAGGTGGTTGTTCTAGAATTATGAATCGTGACTGTATCTCCTCTAAGAAATTGTGAAGTTAAGCTATAAAAGAGGCTAACTTGAGCTTCCTCTTTGTGGTAAGAGAGCAATGACCCACGTCAAATTGATTGGGGGTTGACAATGTTTGAGAAACGGTTTAGCCTTCTTCAGAGTATCACACAAGATCCTGATAGTAACTCAAACAAAGCAATTTTTGTTTTCATGCCTGATGTTGATACAAGTTGTTTACCTAGAGGAGAGCCCAAGCAAGTTAGCTCTTGGAGTTACGATGCGAAAATGGGTAAGGCAAAAATGATTTATACAAAAGGTCATACTGTGATCATATAGAATGCGTTGGTAGTTATAGTCATCAATCTCATTTTATTGATGAAGCCACCGAGGAGAAGATAGAAATCAACATTGGTTCTCTAAATTTTACAAGGCTATTATAATGATCATTCCTTTCATTTCATGTAAATTTGTATTATAACTGAAGTGATAGTACCCCAAACCATAAATTACAGCAAGGAATAGTCATTTGAATTAGTGTGCACTGATGCAAAATATCATGTAGCTGTCAAGAAAAAGGTGTAAGAGTGGACCAATCAGTGTGTTTGCTGTCGAGAAAGGATAAGAATCGTGATAATGGGGATCGTTCATGACGATTGAAATATACAGATTGAAATGATAAAAAGTACAGAGTTGTAAGTCATTTGTGTGTTTAGTGTAGCAGAGTGGTGATTTGGTAGGATTTCACAGTGGTAGGGATATTGACAAAAGTTATTATATGTGTTGGTGCTTCCACGCATATATTGCTTGCCTATTTCATTTGTTTGTATATAAGATTTCTACAACAGATTGGATGCTTTGTATTTTTTTTGTCATTTTAATTAACAAAACTATATATTAGAAAAAACTAGTCGACGCATTCCATCTACTTCATTTGGACATTGCTGATTTTTGTTTTCTCAGCCAGAGATTCATTGCCTTTGGTGTCACTGTGGTTTTTGGTCTAAGGGCAATCCAGATTGGATTTTTCTTATGAAATTTCTTGGTGGCTTCCATTTTTACCATCAATAATTGGAGTCAGGTAAACATTCTTTTGGTTTTTCATGTTCACTCTAGAGACATCATGGTGCATGGCAATAGTGGCTATATTTAAGGCTAATGTCTTGGTTTGGATTGTCCATTATAGTGTTTATGTTTTACTGTTTTCTTTTGTAATGCAATGGGATAATACCTTTTTATCATATTATTATTGTTGGGGGTATACGAATAAGAAGGCCTCGATATGTGGATGAGGCCCATTAAAAGGCATGAAGTCCAAATAGTCCGAGGAAAGGTGAGCCCATTCAAGACGGGAGTGGGCCATGATAGGCGCCCGCGGGCTTAGATCAGAAGAGCAAGTTGGGAGTTGTGTACACTAGGCGCCGAGGGGTACTCGCACGTTAGGCGCCTAGGGGTGCACTTGGGAGTTGTGTGCACTCGAAGAGGGCGCCTGGGATCATCTTCGGAGGGAGCGCCCTGGGTCACTCGCATTAAATGCAAGGGTGACGTGGAAATCCGTACGGGAAGGTCCAGGTAAGCAATCTTCGGCTATAAATAGGGAGGTGGGTAAGCATTTACTCAATTTGGCTTCTCTCACAAAAATCGTGCATTATAAGCACTTCTCTCTCTAAGAACTTCTCTCTCTAAGAAAGATACTGACTTGAGCGTTGGAGGACTAACGGGCCACAAGGCCCACCTCTGTGAGTGCAGGCTTAATTTGCAAGGGAGTCAGCTGGTACGGAAGGGAAGTAGGCAGATCAAGCGGGCATCAACAATTATATATGATGTTGTTGACCTACCTCCGGCATCGCAGCATACATGTTAACGAATAATATCAGTTAGAATCTAAGAGTCAATTTCCGTGACTATATCCGGCCAAGGGTCGGGTAATAAGCTAGTTGTTGTATTATTTATTATTTATTTGCCGCTTACGCCGTGTTTACAATGTCTTGTTTTGGTTCAAGGCAAGGAAAATTAATTATTTGAATATGAAGTTCTTGTAAGCGCATGGCATTGTAGGAAATTCATTACACATCTAATTAATGTGCCCCGAATATATGTGTTTTCAACAATATATAACAGGACTTGTAGGATGATAATTGATATGCTAATCGTGGTGATTTCCAACGAATTAACTGATGGCAACTAGAGAAAGAAAACCCTAGACATGTGTGCAGCTAGCTATGAGCACATAACTAGCTACCCATACAATATTGTAATCAGAAAAGAAAATCGAATAAGGAATGTTCCTTTCCAGATAATAAATCTTTCATTTAAATGTATATAAATTAAGAAGATATCGATTAATATACTTGGAAGCCAACCTATAGCTCTATTCCCTTCATAATACGTATGAGTTAGTTGAATCACTCATACGTATTATGAGACGGAGTACGCCGAATGGCGCTCCCAAAATTGTTGAGTAAAAGTCGAAGGTTGCACAGGGGGTAATGGGTGATAATAAAAATTCTCCAAATACATTGAAAATTGATATTATTTTACAGATTACAATAAACTCGTTCTCTCTGTGCATGAAAAAAAACCCGAGTTAAAACAAACAAGATGCAATCTCATTAAAAAAACGTAGGAAAAAAAGTTCTTACCCTTTACATATATGTCCCTACTCAAAATCAATGAACCAAACCTAGTTATGCATAATCAAGGTTATACACCCTAGACCTGAATATGCTCCAACTAATATAGAAAGAAACGAAGGGTTAGATCGAAATATTCTTACATTGTTATCACAAATTCCTTGTGCTTTTTTAACAAAACAAGAAAATACCCTACCTCTTCAACTCAGTCGAGTAAGTAAATTAATCGGTCATTCCATAAACAAATTGATGTTCTTAAGAAAATTTGCCTTTAGCAAGATAGGTCGACGCCAAAAAAAAAAAAAAAAAAAAAAGCCATATATCAGGAACCCCGCTAATGACAAGTTTGATGGTTGTCATTAAGCAATGCTTGTTTTTTGTCACATGCTAGTTGATCTCGTTGGCTCCGCTAATCCGCTTCCAAACACCCTCGCCTCGTCCCCCAGCTAGCTGTTTGATTCACTTCGGACTAACCCATGATATTGTCACCCAACACCTCTTCACTTAGTTAATTTAATCACTCCATTTAATTAACCTCTTCACTAATCACCAACTCTCTCCCCTCCCTCCTAGCTAGCTTTCTCCTCACTCCGGCGCCGGAGATGGAAAGCAATAATAACAAAGACCACCACCGCAGCATCAAGTCCTCCATCTCGACGCCGGACCTCCACGACACCGGCCTGAAGCTGGAGCGAGCTAGAGAGGCCTACGCCGGCTACAACTCCGACGTGATGGAGAAGCCTTCGAAGGTGGAGGTGTGGATTTGGTATCTGTACGAGGTCTGCTCCTACTTCATCCATTCCTGCCTCCTCCCCATCGTCTTCCCGCTCATGATCAGCCAGATCCACCGCCTCCCCGCCGAGCCCGCCCGCGGCTGGCTCACCAGCCCCATCGCCCTCTCCTGCCGCCCTCAACAATCCCAGCTGTAAGTTTGTCCAGTTAGAATGAGTGGTTCGTATTAACTAATTATGAACGATTGTAAAACCGTATCGGATGTTGCATCGGAAAAGTGAACGATATGGTGTTTTGTGTTGAAATTTTGGTTTGATCGTGGTTCAATCGTTTCGTAAACTCCTGCCTACTGATTTAGCAATTGATAGGAGAGGTTTCCCGGTCAGATTGCTGGTACGGTACGATTTGAACAACACCGCTAAGTACATTCATATTTTCTGGTTGAACAAACATGTTGTATGTTGAACAACTTTACTTATGTTAGCAAGTGGTATATGATTTATAATTGAACTGTTTCTCATAACTTGGTGGAACCAACGTGTTTTTAACAAGGTGTTAAATTCTTTTGAGAAGAAGAGGGTTTTTTTTATAATTTTGATTGTTCGAAATCTTGGTGACCCCTTGTGTTTTGATAAGCACCTGATATATATTTGGACATATGCAAATTTCAAACTCATATAAATAGGTTTTCATTTGGAAGGTATATATTCGTAAATTATATATAATTTATAATTCTATCTCTTATACCAATTCGAATTATTGGGATAAACTAGTTGTCGAATTTTACAATGTGTAATATGGAATGAATGATTGAATGCTTATGAGGAATGTTGACAATGTTGGCAGATACGAAGCGCTGGTGAACAAGAACGTAGAATTCGGGACCGCCAGAATCTCAGCATTGCAATGGACCTCCTTTTCATGGGGAGTGGGCTTGGGCCTAGCCGGCCCAATACTCTGGCTCATATCCACAAGCCTGGACTACGGCAACTTCCAGCCCATCATAGCCGGCACCGCCATCGCCACCGGATTCTTCTTCTGCCTCCCCACGGGGTTCTTCAACGTCACCTGGATCTTCCCGCCCTTCATCATCGCCATCGTGGCGGCGAGCACGATTGCCGCTGCCACCCACACGCGCCACCACGGCATGATGGTGCGCGGATTCACCGGCCCGAACCTCCACAAGTCCCGATTCGCCCTCCGCCGCTGGCTCTCCAGCTGGCTCTCCCTCTACGCCGCCGCCGCCGGCGCCCTCGGCTCCGCCGCCATCACCGCCTTCACCTACTACATGCTCCGGAAAAAAGAAAAAGAACTCAGCCTCTGGATCGTCACCATCTTCAGCGGCCTCACGTGGGCCGCCGGAATCTCCCACGTCGCCTTCATCAAGCCCGGCTCCGGCGACGTCGCCGGCCGGCCGTCGCCGGCGAAACATTCCCTCTCGATTTTCACCTACCCGCACGCTTTTACAACCCTGATTCTAACGTTCCTCTCGTCGTTCACCACGATGTGCATCTTCGCCAGCGGATACCTCTACTTCGCCGGATTCCTCTGTCTCCAGCCGCCGGTGATCCTCTACTCCTGGCTGATCTACTTCGTATTCCCGTTAATTTCCCTCCCGGCGGTCCACCTGGTCCAGCACGCGCTCCGAGCCGACGCGGCGAAGATGCACGCGCTCGGATTCGTCATGGCGCTGATCACGTCCGGGTTCGGGTTCTACTTCCGGTCCGGAATCTGGGCCGCCGGAGTAATTCTAGCCTTCTCGGCGGTGCAGGGGACGTCGGCGGGTGTGATGCACGCGTTCCAGCGCGTGCTGCTGTCGGACTGCTCGCCGCCGGGGAAGGAAGGGGTGTTCGGCGCGTGGTTCGAGTGGTGGAGGGCGGCGGGCGCGTTCGCCGGGTTCACGGTGGCGGCTAACTTGCCGGGGGAGATAAGTACCAGCTTAGCTGCCACGTTTTTGACGTCGGTGGCGGGGATCGTGGTGCTGGTGTACGGACACATCAGCGATACAGGTGGAGCTGCCGCGGCTGGACACGTGGTGGCGGGGGAGGGGAAGTCGGGTCGGGTTTATGACGAGGAGCAGCAGGATGACCCGGATGGTGGGATATCGTCGCCGCCACCGCCACGTGCTCGGCTGGCATTGGAGGACGATGTTCATCACGGGAATGGTAAGAATTATAGTAACAACGTTCGTAGTTTGGCGGTAATGAAGGAGGATCAGGATGATCATGATGACGAACTAAGTTTTCAGCACGATCATGACCATGAGGATGTCATTAGCTTAAGCTAATTAGCTGATAATTAGCCTGGCTTCGTAAATTAAGATGATGATCGTAGGCTATGATTAATTGTTGATTGCGAAGGGTCAAAGTCTTGATGATCTCAGTCTCGGGATGGATATGCAGGTTTGTTTATTTTTGTAATTTTCATTCTCAATTTTTTCTTCAACGACTTGGTTTGTTGCACAAGGAATTGTATTCAAATAATTAAGGACTTGGTGTGTAGTTCATTGATGTTAATCTCAAGGCTAACACAATGTTCTTTGTGTGTATTATTACTTGAAGTTAGTTAATTAGCTAAAATTTGTTGTTAACCAAACTTCTTGTGTTTCATGTATAATATTCTTTGTATTGTACATCCATTGTTTGGAGTTAACGTTAAAGATTTCAAAGAGATATATAGTAATATTGTTCAACAAAGTTTTTGGATGGCACGGCTTATATATATAGAGGACTGTATTATTATTGTAACCCCATAACTCAGCGACACAATAAGGGACAAATTGTTGAACTAGTACACATATAATTGTGTTTTATGCTACACGTACTATTTTATATATATAATTATTTATGATATGATCAAACTGATGAATTGATTCTCATCAAGACATAGCCAGTTGTTGAATGTTGATGGGATAAGTGAAGGATTGAGTCGAAAACGACGACTGCGCCAACAAGACGTTGGCAAGTTCCGTGGGGTGGAAGGCATCCCAAAACAGATACTTCCGCCGGTCCGGGCACGGTTGCTGCAACGGCAGACACGTGATTTGCCCGTTGTTCCTCCCAACTCCACAACACCCTTTGTCGATCACTTCAAACCCTAATACACATAAAATAATAATCAATTAGTTAGCCTTAAAATTGGCAAGCGATATACGAAAAGAAAGTAAGTTTGTATGTAGAATGAATTGAATTACCGTATTGGGAGGAGTTGCGATACAAGTCGCTTGTGCTCTTGTAGAAGTCGAGGTAAACGAACTTGGCCCCGGGAAGCTCCGTCCCACCGTTGAAACGCTGGACGAGCCTCTTCAAACCCGAGTTGAACATGGAAACGGCGTCGTTTATCTTCTCGTTGCACCGGCTGCTGTTGTTGCCGGTGTTGTTGTTGGCGGTGTACCTAGCCAGCTGGTAAGGTATGCACCCGATCTGCCCGACCGACGTCACGATCACCTTCCGAGCTCCCATCGTGTACATCTTCTGCATCATCACAAAAGCCAAACATAACTTAGCTAGTTTGAAAGCTGGTTTTGGTTGATAGAGCAAACTGGGGGTACGATGAATGAGAATTACGTACGGCGAGCTGGTTGGCGTAGTCTTGGAGGAGAACGGAGGCGAACGCCTTGGGGGTGTAGTCGGAGCTGGTGGTGTAGAAATTGGACATGAAGTAGTTGTTGAGGTAGTCGTTGCTCCCCATCCCGGAGAAGAAGATGCACCGGCCGAGGTAGGAATTGAGGAGAGAAGCGTCGCCTCGGAAGTACCGAAGCATCACTTGCACCACGTTGCCGAAGTTGGTCACTTGCTGGCTCAGCGAAGCATGATCTCCCTTTCATGCATATTGGGGGGAAAAAAAGTTTAAATTATATAGCTAGGTTGGAAGTTATGGAACAAAGAGTTCGCATGTGTGTCTGTCTATGATGGGTTTTAAATCGTAACGTACGAGATTGTTGCCGGTTTCTTCGCGGATGCCGGCGGCGCCGGAAGCGAAATTGACTCCCCTCAGCACCTCCCGCGGGGCTCGAGCTCTGGCGAAGGGCGGGATGAAGTTTTGAAACCCTAGCAGCCGAGCTGGACGTGTAATACCAATATAAACACGCGCTTATGTACGTAAGTATACATGCATGCATGCATGCATATGTGTTATTTTTAGGGTAATAAAACGTACGTACCGAGAGCGTCGACGTAGGTTTGGCCGTTTGACAGAATCCAATCATCAAGCTGGACCTTCTGCTGCACAGCAACCAGAAGATGAAGAAGAAGAATGAAGTTGCAGAGGAGATTCGAAACGTATCCAGCGCAGAAAACGTCTCTGAAGAAGTTGTAATAGGAACGCAGTCGTTTTACTTATTTTGTATTTACCGCTCTTAGTTGTTAACAGTGATTAGCGGGAACCAGTTAGGTTGAGCCACGTGGCAAGCTCAGTTTAAACTAAAGAGCTAATTACTGTATAACGGTATAAATGGGAACAGCAGCTGGAAACCTTTCTTCTTGAGGGTTTCCGATCAATCTCTGTGCATTTCTAAGGTTTTCTACATGGTATCAGAGCCTATGCTCTAACGACGCAGCTCCGTTCCGATGTCTGGACAACAGATACCTCCGCGTACTCCTCCCAACTCAGCGGGTGGTTCTGGTGTCCAATTTGGTAGCTTCAATATGTCGAATGAGCAGGGTAATGCCAGAGGTGAGATCCCCTTTGGACATCCATACTACCTAAACCCTAATGAAAATCTTTCTCAGTCCATCACTTCTGTTGTTTTCGATGGCACTAATTATCCTGTATGGAGTCGTTCTATGCGATTGGCTTTGAAGACCAAGCATAAATTGGGTTTTGTTGATGGATCTATTTTGGCTCCAGCCCCCTTAGATCCGAGTTTCCACCTCTGGGATGGATGTAATACGTTGGTCTTATGCTGGATTATGAACTCCCTACAGAAAGATATAGCTCGTAGTATGATGAGCCACGAGAATGCTCGTGTTCTGTGGGTTGAGTTGCAGGAAAGGTTTGCTAAACCTAATGCTCTTCGCATTATCAATCTTGAAGACGATATTCAGGCTTGTAAGCAAGGTGATAGCACCGTTCTCCAGTACTACACTAGGATTCATGGTCTGTGGGAAGAATATCAACAATTTTCTCCCATTGTTCCCTGTGCTTGTGCTCCTGGAAGTAATATTGATTGTGCTGCTGTTGCTGCTTTTCGTACTAAGCAGGAAACTGATTACCTCATTCGCTTTCTCCGGGGTGTTAACAAAGAGTTTGAGGTTGTTAAAACCCAATTGCTGCTTATGAAGCCTTTACCCACTGTTTCTGTGGCCTTGAATGATTTGTTACAACACGAACAGAAACTCAAAGGTGATTCTGTCAGTTCAAAGGGATCTCAGTCTGTTGCTCTTGCTGCTGGCCGAGACAGACCTCGTCCTCGATTTGACAAGCCTGACAATGATTCTGATCGAGTGACATGTCGTTATTGCAAGCGAGTTGGCCATGAGATTAAGGATTGCTTTAAGTTGAAACGCAAAGAGAAGGATAGAGAAGCTGGACTAATAGCATCTGTTGCTCATGATGGGGCATCTCCTGATACTCACAGCCAGTCTGATGGTAGTTCCAGCCCTTCCCAGTCTCTCACTGGTCTCTCCCTTGATGACATTACCAAACTCAAATCTCTTCTGCAATTTGGTGTGGCTGCTGGTCCTAGCTCCCCTGGTTCACCCAGTATCAATCACAAGGCTTTCTCTGTCTCTCAGTATCTCCCTAAGCACCCCAATCATGCTGGTAAGTACATCCTTTCCACTCACCTCGAGTTGGGTACTACTAGCTTGAATTCTGTTTGGATTTTGGACACTGGGGCCTCAGACCACATTGCTTGTTCTTTGAGTTCTTTCCTTGATCACCAACCTGTCCAAAATACCCATGTCTTCTTACCTAACAGTTCTAAAGTTCCTGTTAGTCACATAGGTACCATCAAATTGCCTAATGGGATATTCTTGTACAATGTCCTATTAGTTCCCAGTTTTACTTTCAACCTCATCTCTGTTAGTAAGCTTACCCATGATTTACCAGTCACCTTACACTTTCATTCCAATATCTGTGAAATTCAGGACCTTCAGACAAAGATGAGGATTGGTTTGGCCAACCAACATAGAGGTCTCTATCATCTAGCCACCACAAACTCTCCTTCCTTTGCAGAACCATCTCATTCACATCAAGCTGCCACCATTTACAACTTCAATCCACATCAAGTCAATCTTTGGCACTGGCGTTTAGGCCACCCTAGTAAAGATAGATACTTGCTTGTCAAGAATAAGAACTCCATTGTAACCAGTGATCTTGTTCTTCACTGTGATATCTGTCATCTGTCTAAACAAAAACGTCTTTCTTTTCCTCTTAGTGACCATTCTGCCAGTGAACCATTTGCTTTAATTCATGTGGATATTTGGGGCCCCTTGTCTGTGAAATCTTATGATGGTTTTAGTTACTTTTTGACGATTGTGGATGACTATACACGTGCTGTCTGGGTGTATCTCATGCATTCTAAGGCTGAAACTAGAGAACTGTTGCAAGGTTTTTGTCAACTTGTGAATACTCAGTTTGCAAAACAGGTTAAAACAATAAGGAGTGATCAGGGTAAAGAGTTCCATATGACAGAGTTTTATAGAATTCATGGCATTGAGCATCAGACTTCCTGTGTTGAAACTCCCCAGCAAAATGGCAGGGTTGAGAGGAAGCATCAGCACATTCTTAATGTGGCTAGAGCTCTCCGTTTTCAGTCAGGCATTCCTTTGAAATTCTGGAGTGACTGCATACTCCATTCTGTTTATTTGATCAATCGAATGCCTACTCCTCTCCTTCAAAACAAGTCCCCCTTTGAGATGCTCTTTAACAGACCTCCCTTGCTGCAAAACTTGCGTGTATTTGGCTGCCTTTCCTATGCTACTACCCTTCCCCAAGGCAGAACAAAATTCCAACCTCGTGCTCGCCAATCCATCTTCCTTGGATTTCCTTCTGGTGTCAAAGGCTATAAGCTGTTTGACTTACATGATCATCATGTTTTCATCTCTCGTAATGTCACCTTTTATGAGGACATTTTACCCTTCAAGACAATTTCAGATTCTCCTCCTCCTTCTCCTTCAATTCCTTCTCCTTCAATTCCTTTAGCACCTTATTCTATACCCAACACTTCAGACAATCTGACCTCAAGGGGGGCATATCCAGTACCTGCTGCTGATGATGTCCAGATTGCACATGATTCAGATAACAACACCAATTCATGTCCTGATGATCAGGATGATGTGGATGTGCATTTATCAGGTTTTAATGATGGAGAGAATGTTGAAGAACAACCAGAACTGGAAGTTCAGACAGAATATGAAGGAAGACCAATCAGGGTCAATAGGGGCAAGTTACCTGCAAAACTGGATGATTACTATGTTGGATCAGTGAGCAGATATCCCATGAGTGATTACTTGGGATATGATCAACTTGCACCTAAGGATAAACACTATGCACTCAGTCTTATTGCTGAAGTTGAACCTTCTTCTTACCAGGAAGCTGCTAAGTCAGAATTATGGAACAAGTCCATGGATGAAGAAAGAGAAGCCCTGGAACTGAATCAGACTTGGGAAGTGGTTCCTCTACCTAAGGGGAAACGAGCAATAGGATGTAAATGGGTGTATAAGATCAAAATGAGGCCTGATGGAAGGATTGAAAGGCGTAAATCACGGTTAGTTGCAAAAGGTTTTACACAAATACATGGCATTGATTTCTTAGATACTTACTCACCTGTGGCAAAGATCAATTCTGTGAAGGCTTTGTTAGCTGTGGCAGCAAGTAAAGGTTGGGTACTTGAACAAATGGATGTCTCCAATGCATTTCTGCATGGAGATTTAGAAGAAGAAGTTTATATGCAGTTACCTCCTGGTGATCCCAGATCTGGCAGCAAGGATAATTTGGTGTGTAAGTTAAAAAAATCACTTTATGGACTTAAGCAGGCAAGTAGGCAATGGTTTGCCAAACTTACCAGTTCACTTCTGCAGAATGGTTTTTCACAGTCTGCTTCAGACTATTCTTTATTTACTAAATGGGTTCATGGTAGAATTGTTGTGTTGTTAGTGTATGTTGATGATATAATCCTTGGAGGTGCAGATAAGAAGGATATAGAGGAAGTGAAGCTGTTTCTGAGTAGACAGTTTAAAATCAAGGATTTGGGAAGTTTGAAGTACTTCCTTGGGCTGGAAATCACTAGGAACAGTGAAGGTATTGCAGTATGTCAAAGAAAATACTGCTTGGATCTCTTGGAAGATACTGGTTATTTGGATGCCAAAGATTGCAAATCACCACTGGACCCTAAGGTTAAGCTGAAGGCTAAGCAAGGTAAGCCTCTTGATGATCCTGAAATCTACAGAAGATTGATTGGTAGGTTACATTACCTCACCACAACTAGACCAGACTTGACATTTCCCATGCAGCAGTTAAGTCAGTTTCAGAAAGAACCATACACAGATCATTTACAGGCTGTTTTCAGAGTTCTTAGATACATCAAAGGATCACCTGGACAAGGTATTTTCTTCAAGGCAGAACCTACTCTAAGGTTGATTGGTTATAGTGACTCAGATTGGGCTAGCTGCCCTGATTCGAGAAGATCCATTACTGGATACTGCACATTCCTGGGAAGCTCTCTCATTACATGGAAATCGAAGAAACAAACTACTGTTTCAAGGTCCTCATCCGAGGCTGAGTACAGGGCACTTGCACACCTTGGATGTGAGGTTCAATGGTTGAAAAATTTGCTTGCTGAATTGAGTGTAGAAGTTGTGCTACCTATCTCAGTGTTCTGTGACAATAGATCTGCTATTCACATAGCAGAGAATCCTGTGTTTCATGAAAGGACTAAACACATTGAGATTGATGTTCATGTGATAAGGGAGCGGGTTAAAGCAGGTTTGATTAAGCTGTTCTATGTTAAGACTGAAGATCAGTTAGCTGATCTCTTTACTAAGCCTTTGAGCAGGTTTCGCATCAAAGAGTTGATTGAGAAGATGAATGTTGAAAATCGATATGCTCCAGCTTGCGGGAGGCTGACAGAATCCAATCATCAAGCTGGACCTTCTGCTGCACAGCAACCAGAAGATGAAGAAGAAGAATGAAGTTGCAGAGGAGATTCGAAACGTATCCAGCGCAGAAAACGTCTCTGAAGAAGTTGTAATAGGAACGCAGTCGTTTTACTTATTTTGTATTTACCGCTCTTAGTTGTTAACAGTGATTAGCGGGAACCAGTTAGGTTGAGCCACGTGGCAAGCTCAGTTTAAACTAAAGAGCTAATTACTGTATAACGGTATAAATGGGAACAGCAGCTGGAAACCTTTCTTCTTGAGGGTTTCCGATCAATCTCTGTGCATTTCTAAGGTTTTCTACACCGTTGGTGAAGCGGCCGGTGGCGCCCAAGGGGAAATCGATGCCGTAGGGGCCGTAATTAGCCCTGGCGAGGGTGAGCATGCCGTTGTTGTTGCCGTTGTCGACCAAGGAGTCGCCGAAGATGAAGAAACATGGGACTTGTGCCTCTTGCGTTTGTGGCGGGCGCCGCTGCGCCATTGCCTTGCTCGTTAATCTACCAAATACTAATAAGGTGGTAATCGCCACTCCGATCGTCCAAATCCTACTCTTCATCTTCTTCTTAGTAGTTTGGTTTCCGTTTTCTCGCACTTTGGTAGCCATAGCCCCTTTTTATACTGTACCTTTGTCCATATTTTACACTGTTTATACCTCCCTTTTTGTTGGTGGACATTGATTGAGTTCATTCGTTTTTTATGTATATGTAAGCACTTTTATAAGGTTTGTGTTGTGGAATGTGGGTATCATAATGTGGCTTATTTAGATTGCAACTTTTGGTTGAGAGTTGGGAGTTGGGGAAACTCATGATGATCATGGATGCATGTACTGGTTTTGGCACGTACCAATTCTATTTCGCTGTAACGGTGAAGTGGAAGAAAAGATTCAAGTTGCGGTGCAAGTGAGGAATCTCGTGACAGTGACCAAACTAATCACAGACTGATGTCGTTGAGGTTGTAACTTGTACAGGTTAGCTAAGGTCGAAGGCTGTTAGAGACGTTATGGCTGGAAATAGGCGGCCCATAGCTAAGGTGACCCAGAGAGCCCACTAATCAGCAATGTCCAAAGCCCAAAACTACTATTTGTGAGAGCCTGGCCTGTAATTACCCATGCTGCTGCTGCTGTCCCTAGCTATCTGTAAGGCCCGCTTAACATGACAGACTTTGGTCGGGAAGCCCACAGGTTTACATAATTGGCCAATACTATATGGTGCCGCTGTAAAAAGTGCGGCACCGGTAATGCAATTTTTGATTGGTCCACATGGAATTGATGTGGCGTTGGTTTATCGGTCCAAACACGGTGGCCCATTAAAGTGGTCGAACCCAGCTACCCGCAATCAAACGGGAAAGTCTATCTTCCCACGCCCTTTTTCTTTTTTCCATTAAGTCTGTCTTCCTAAAAAAATGAACTCTTATAATAAAAAAAACGAACGAAAAGTAGACGCCACAATCGTCTTCCTCTATCGGTCACTCGTCTGATTCTGAAAAGAGGAAAGTGCTCCGGCGAACTCCACAATCGCCGACCCAAACTCCATACCGAGCAGTAAATCCTTCATCGTATTCCTCCTCCAATGAATTCCGTCACCGCTTCCATCCTAGAATCTCATCTTCCTTTGATTTTGCCCCTAATCGAGGTCATCGATTTGAATTCAGATTGTGCGAATTCAGAAGATTAGATCTGTTATCAACTTGGATAGACCTTTATCGCTAACTTGTTCTCTCCCTGTAAAATTTTGTGGTAGCTAGATTTTGCTCTCACCCCCGAATTCCTTCGGGCTGTGTTACTGCTTGCATTTATTCCATGGTTAGCTTTACCATGATGAAGGCAGGAGCAAAGAGCGACGGGTATGACGCAGAAGGAGGCTAATCCTCTCTTTGGCTACGGATCTTCTTTACGGTGCCGCCAGAGTACCTCGACGGAGATAGAAGCCCGCTGTTTCACGGCTTCACCGGGGATTGTTCCCCGAAAAACAAATGCAGTTAAAAATACATAAATAAATTTTATCTTAATTAATAAGGAAAAAATCAAACAAAACGGGAGGTAGACGGAATCACTTCTTTCCGTTTGTTTGAGTAGCTGGTTTGATGAATTATTGTTTTTGGGCTTGGATTCAATGAAGTCAGCCCGTGCCACATCACATCTAACGTGGACCAATCAAAATTGGCGTCACCGGTGCCGCACTTTTAACTGCGGCACCGTAGTTTTGGCCTACATAATCTCCTTTCCATTCCTTTTTAGCAAGTTCAACTTGGGTTTCTTGTAAAATATTGCGTTAATTGTTATCCAAATACTATACTTACGAAAATATTTTCAAATCTATTCATGTCTGTGGATGTTGGAGTGTTTATGGACGTTGAAAGACAAATTAGACTTATATGGAGTGTGCGCCCCAATTAGACTTTTTATCATCCCAATTTGACTTTAAACGTTTATTCAATTTGTTTGATGCGCCCGCACCTCAATTACGTTTTTAGTTGCCTCAATTTGCTTTAAACATTTGTTCAACCAGTTTGAAGCACGTGCACCTCAATTAGTTGTTGTTTTAACTAGAAAAAATCAAATTGAGGTGTGTGCCCTAATTCGCTTATATGGACAATAAATTTAGAAATATCTTCGTTCGTAAGCGTAGTATTATGGATAGTATTTTTAAAACGTAACATTTTAAGGAAAATAATCCGTTAAAAGTTAACGGTGGTAATTGATCATCTCATTTTTCATGTTTTCCTTTTCAAAAATTCAACTATACCCATCTTCTCATTTTGGTATATGACAATGCAAGTATAAACACATTTGATGCAAGAATATTGAAGGGTGAAGAAGGCAAATATCATTATCATTTCACGGGGGCAATGGGCATGTGTATGACAATATTGTGGTCTAAATCATGAGGTTGCTGCCACTAGGCGATAATCCGCATCATCATGGGCCACTCGTCCCCTCCTATATTTGTCCCGACGCTGCACGTGAATATGCACTATAACATACACACACGAAACACTATATTTAAGGCAAATTGGAATATGGCAATTTGCAACTAAGGATGGATGGAAAAGAAGGGAATCTTTTTCCTTTCTATGTTGATTTCTGAGGTATGGGGAACTTTGTACTCGCATTCTATATAACCAAATATCTACCCTTATCATATTATATACGTCATAAGAAGGAACAAAACAAAAAACAACAAGTAAAGTTGGTAATGTTCTATCCCTTATCCTTTGCCCTTGCCCTTGCCCTTTAGTTGGTAACGTAACTGGAATACCTGTCTTGCCTTGGCGGTTACTCTGTTTAGTGTTGCGCACCGCCCTCCGGACTCCAGAGACCAGAGCCTCTCTGACATAGTGACATTGGAAACCAATTTGGCTTTAACAGATCCATTTGTCTCACAATTGTAGCTAGCTAATCTCCCTATACATCAATGGTAATCAGGTACTAATTAATTAGTCAACACTGTAGGGTTGTCATGAGCTAGGCTGGTCACAAGCGGTTCGACGTTCGTTCGGGGAAAAAAAATCGACACTCGGTTTATTTAATAATGAGTCGAGTTTGAGTTAATCCTTCTTCGGCATGCAAGATTTTTGAGGCAACTCGATTCCGTGGCTTGTTGAGCTCAACTCGCGAGCTAGCTCGTTTTGGACTATGAGATGGCTCGATAGTATGGCTAGTGAGCCACGTCAACTAGCAACTTATGAGCGAATCAGTTAATAACTTATCATTAGCTTGTTGATATAGAATAATCTCACAATTGAAAATACAAGAACACGAAGACAAAATTTATGTAGTTTCCCCAACAATTCAGGGTTAGTCCACGCCAAAAGCAAAAATACTCTTATTCACCGAAATTCAGTGTACAAACTTAGCAGTCGTACCCATTATATACGAGTTGCGCAACCCTAAGTCTAGGAAAATTGTCATACTAACTACATATAATGACGGCTAGTTACAAAATGGTAAACAAACTTCTAACATTTGATAATTCATAGTTTTGTTAGATTATATATCTCATCACATATGAATTTTAAGAATTTGAGCATGTGATCAAATATGTCTCGTTTATAATACAACAGATAAATTATATATCATAGATTGCTTAGGTACTAATTAGTTATTACTATTAAGGGCTAATACCACTAGGAAACCCGAACTATCAACTTTGTGTCATTTGTGTCCTAAAGTATTCGATATGACAATTGTGTCCTGAACTATTTCTCCATTAGAGTTGACCGGTGTTGACCGTTAGTTTTTAACAGAAAATCCAGTAAGCGCTGATGTGGCATCTGAAGTGGAATTTATAATATTAATTTATAATTATTTTTCATTAAAAAGGAAAATTACAAAAATAAAAAATAAAACCCCATCTCCATCGGCGGTGATGAAGAAAACGCGATTTAAATCTTCCTGAAACGACGACGTTTTCCAGAAGCCACACGACGACGTCTTGGACTGGCTGCACGTAAACCTCACACGACATCGTCTTGGATTGCAAACGTTCTCTTCAGCATCGTCCTTCTAAGTCTTCATTTCTGATCAAAAGATCGATCTACTCAACCCTAGCCTCCCACCTACGAGGAGCGGACAGAAACCTTGAGCCAGTTCGTCGGTGATGAAGCACAGACATCACCGACAATCCTCTAAAGGAATGATGAAGACAAATCAGGCGCAAGTCTCACACAACGGTCATAGAAGATTTCTAGGTATAAATAGATTACTATCTGATTGAATTAGGTGTGTGTGTGATAGCGAGTGTTCTTCGTCTATCTTGAGAGAGTGTGTTATTTCTCTTCAGTAGCTAGATTCACAGTGGTTGTCCTGGGTGATCTAAGCTTGGGAAGAGAGTCTCTGTTTGTGTGTTTATCAAAGTGTCAACCCTGTTGGCTTGACACTGAGTGATTTAGGGATTTCTTCGTGTATTTTGGTTTCAATCAATAAAGTCAATTTGTTTCTTGTATTCCAGCCAAACACTTGGGAGTTTAAAAATCAACAATTGGTATCAGAGCGTGGTCTTTGAAGGATTAAAATTCGCCAAAGACGATCAAGGATATGGCTGGAGTCATGGCTGCCTCAGCGTCTTACTTAGCGAACACAAATCCACCTTGGTTCGACGGCACGGACTACACAGTTTGGAAAAAGAGAATGAGAATTTACCTGCGAGGTGTCGATGGAGGACTGTGGGCGATTGTCAAGAAAGGGCCAATCCCTATGGATGACGAGGAAGAAGAAAACTGGAAGGAGGATCAAAAATTGTCATCGCAACAAGATTCGAGGGCAATGCACATCCTCTTTTCAGCTCTCAGTCCTGAAGAAAGAAGTCAGGTTGCCCAATGTGAGACAGCTAAAGAGATCTGGGAGTCTCTTGAGACTACCCACGAAGGTACGTCAGAAGTAAAAGAAAGTAGAATTGACGTATTATTAAATGAATATGAATCGTTCGAAATGAGTACTGGTGAAACTATCACTAGTATGTACAAAAGGTTTAATGACCTTATCAACAGGTTAAAAGGTTTGGGAAAAACATTTCCAACTAAGGATTTAGTTAGGAAGATTCTGCGAAGTCTCCCTAGAGAATGGCTACCCAAACGAACAGCTATAGAAGAGGC